TTTGGGACTTTAGTCTTTGCAACTTTACTTATCGAAGTATATGATGGGCTGTTTAACCCTTGAGTGTAAATATAGAAGTTTAACAGTTAAATACCCCACATTTATTAATTTAGATATGAGGTAGGGGATTATATCTAGTCAAGTTGCCAATATCCCCAAAAAAGCAGGGTGATCAAAAGCAGAAAGAACCTTATATCATTCTGAAGGTGTTTTATTGTGTATATTTTATCGTGTGAGAAGAAAGACACAGTGGAGTGATACGTAAGAGACATAAAACTAGCACAACTAGGAAATTTGTTGCCAGGAACAACAATAAAATATACAATTGAGCATCATCATTCAAATATATTTGAGCACAGAATGCTGCTGTTGACCAATCAGAATCAAGCACCGCAGAGCGTGTTCTAATAAAGTGGCAAAAGCATTTTGGCTGATGTAATTGTGATATTGTAGATTTAATTTTGGTTTGGTCTACCATTTTAGGAAGTTAATTTCTTAAAGTTGCAATGAAATTAAAGTAGCAACCAATCTTTGCTGTCATAGTGTGATGTACATTGGAGTGTAACAGATTAAAATAAAAAAAATGATGGTTCTTCTGCATTGGTTGTTGACTGGATGTTTTTATGTTGGTGTTTCACTCGAAAGTAGAGGCAGATGAATGCGAGCAGTGCAGGGTAGTGACCCATGTAATCTGGGTTATGTAGCCTAATCAGATGCCAAAAATTAAGTACTTGTAGTTAGATTATATTACATTTTAAAATGCTCATAAGTCATAATCAGATTACAGTTACTTTTTTATGGATTTCATGATTACAAATTATTCACACAGTGGCAGTTAATTCATTGATTCTCCCTACTTCTTTTTTTCTCTTTGTGAGTGTGAGTGTGTGTGAGTGTGTGTGAGTGTGAGTGTGAGTGAGTGAGTGAGTGAGTGTGTGTGAGTGAGTGAGTGAGTGATGTAGGGATTCCCAAACTTTTTGTCAGTCAAACCACTTTGACATAAAATATTTACTTTAAGTCCCCCTATAAACAAGTTATGTCAATAGTAATCTAAAAGTAATCCAAAAGTAGTCGCAATACATTACCTATAATGGATCTTAATTACATCACTGACTACAATTTTCAACATGTAATTTGTCATCAGTAACAGACTACAATTTGTTACTAAAATGTTAGTAATCTCCCGAGCACTGAACGTAAGCTTGCAGGAGCAGGTGTAAGTGCACTAAATGATTGGAGAAATCCTGCATAAATCACCAGAAGATGCAGTTACCACATTTTGATTAATCATTACAAAGTCAAAAAACAAATAAAAAAATGAAACACCTGATTTTGATGATAAGATCTATAACATGCATTTAGAAAATTGATAGTGTGAGTTTTCATTCCATGCCGGCTTTAATTTAGACTTTAAACGGGTATTAAAAAGACAAATCAATAGTACTTGAATACAGTCATTAAAACTCAAGTTAAAGGGATAAATCATCCAAAAATGAACTTTTACTCACCCTCAAGTTGTTACAAACCTGTATGAGTATATTTTTTTTTTAAAAAGGTGATATTTTGAAGAGTGTTTGTAACCAAATAGTTGCTGGTAGCCATTGACTTCCATTGGGTTTTTTCTTCTTCTTCATAATATAGAAGTCAAAGGCTACCAGAAACGGTCTGGTTTTCAACATTCTACAAAATATCATCTTACGTTCAATAGAAGGGAGAAACTTGAGGCTGAGTAAAAGATGACAGAATTTAGTGCTGGGCGGTATACCGGTTCATACCGAATACCGGTGTTAATTTTTGTTATGATATGAATTTTTAAAATACCTCAATATGTTGCTTAAACTGTCGCACTGTTTGAAAGGGGTCCCTTTTCACTGTTGCACTGTGGTGAGGGAACAGCTGTATGTGCTACTAAGCGTGAAAGTTCAGAAACTGAAGCTGTAGAACTAATAGAACGTGATCTCATCCACAATATCCACACTGACCGCTACAAATATCCAGCGCCCCCTGCCATCAGCTCCCGCGTCTCTCACACACGAGCGCGACTTTAGCACTAGATTTAGCAACTTTCAGACCCTTTAGTGACTTTTTTTCCATAGAATATTCATACTGACAAACCTAGCGACTTTATCTGGATAAACCTTAGCTATGGTTTAGTTGGAGGATTTCTCCAGTGCTGTCCCGCGAGCGCGAGGTCTGACTTTCCCGGAGAAGTGTCACCTCTCTCGGCGTCTGTTCTGTGCAGTGAGCGGCA